AAATAACAATGAATAATTTAGTAGGGGAATTACGATCAGAACCGAAAGAGCGAGAAATCGAAGCCACACTGAAATTTCCCCTCTCTCGAGAATCACCGGTCCAAATATAGATTTCGACATCATCTCACCTTCATTAATTGACAAGGCACGCCTTCAGTTAGGATTTTCAGTAGAATCTTCCAAATGGTGTTTGACAGTTTGTGACCTTTGGGTTTACTCAAATGCTCTGTTTGATGGAGCTCCGATAGCGCAGAAACTTGCCACAGACGAATCCAAAACATGGAGTCTGAGTTCAAAAAGCAAGAAGCCAGCAAGAGGTCAGAGGACGCCGATGAGGCAAGTAGTTATTGGTCGTGGTTGTTGGTCGAGATTGTTGGTGCCTCGTATAAATGTATCAAGTTGCTATGTGTTTGTCTGCCATATATGAGAATTTTTCGCAGTTGAAAATTAATTATAAGCCCAGTGAGTAACACTGAAAAGAGCAAACTCTTCAACGAGTCAGCTCAAATTGTAATAGTTTTAAATGTTACATGATTCCTGTTTATATGCATCAGAATTAAAAGTAGATCAGTAACAGCAATGTTTTGTTTAAGCTTTAAAGTGTATTTAGATCGAATTTGCACGTGTGCACGTGCAAATTCGAACGTACTGCGTTGCTGACCTATGTTAAGGTTAATTTAAGCGAGCATTGTCCGTATCAGAAACTTTTGTTTACAAATAAGCAGTGAAAGTTCCAGGCGATTCACACTTGGGAATTACTCTGTAAATGATGTCTGTAATACTCTAATAAAACAAATAGTTTATTTTCGCGGGCACAACCACGTTCTAAAAACAGAACATGAACTATATTGATTATTAATTAATATCACTTTGGAGGGCATTGAGAAAATGAAATATGGAACAAGTCAATAAAGCAGTCTGAACAATTGTGCGAGCGTGGGTCAGTGGACCAAAATACATTTGAGCTTTCTAAAATCTGCATTTTAGCCTACGAAATGTACCTCCATGCCAGACAAAGTGACAATAACTTCAGCTTTGCGAATGGCAGTAGAGATAATTGAAAAAATTATAAAAAGCAAGGGTTGAGAAATTAAGGGGAGTTGAACCTTATTTTTCCTATGTATGTGCACATACATGGGAACATAGCCCAAAGTTTCAGATGACATCTATTTTTTTAAGAGGCAAATGCGATGTATAGAATTGATGATTAATTTCTCTTGAATCAAAAGAATATTCTGATATTTGTGATAGGGAAAGTCCCTAAGTGAGCAGCTGTTCTATGCTGGGGAGAAAGGGGGCGTTGAAAAATGTTCAGAATTGATTGATAGAGGAGCAGATGTGAACTGGAAAGCAGGTTCAGAATTGGTAAGTATAATATTGTATAACCGTCTACCCCTCCCCCTTTCCCCTGAAAAACCTGTTTTTGTGACTCTGCAGTTACTGGCATGCTATTAATAGTATCACAGGATAGAGTTCAGGCTATTTCCCACTAACAGTTGCTTTCGTTATGTAGCACAATTGGTATACTTTTACATTATTTAGCCTTTTTTTTCTTTTATATAGTTGTATTAGTTTGCTTGTTTACAAATTACTTGTTACCTAGCAGTGCATATAACCCTTTAATTCCCATGAGTGACCTAGAGAGAATTTCTCCTTACAATATCAATACAATATCAAGTAGGCAAGTAGTGAGAATAAAGAGAATAAAGTAAATAAATCTGTTCATGAAATCCTCAGTTGATTGTATAAAAGTGATTAGATTATAGTCTACAGAGCTGAAATTTCCTGTCTTGAGTGCTGATTTTCAAGAAGAAAATTGAAAAGACTTTAACTTGGCATTTAAGGATTAGGACCCCCCAATAGTAAGCTTTCAGTCTCACAGGTGATGGCTACAAAGTCAAATTCTCAGATTCTGTTACAGTAGATTGAATACTGCTTTCTATGCTTTTCTTAGTGGTTCAGGACCCCATTGATGCAGGCAGCTAAAAGTGGAATGACTGCAGTGTGTAAACTGTATTTGGAAAATGGTGCCAAAGTTGATGCATTTACAAAGGTATGTACATTTAACTGGTAATCCTTTCAAACATTCAAACTGAACATTTTGTTGGATCATATATTATACATCAAAATCAATGGAAGACTCCATCATAATTATTACATATATAGTTATGATATTACATCATATTTTAGTATGATAATATCAGAAAACAGGCAAGAATTTGAAGCTTGACTGAATCAAAGCATTGTCGGCAATCACATAACCTTGCATTTCAGGACTGGCTGACATTCTACACAAAGGGAATCTCTAAAGCAATATTCTAATAATACTTGGCAAGCCACTGAAACAGATAATTATTGTCCACCACTGAAACAGACATAATTATTTTCCAAAGGTTATTCTGAGGGAGTGAAGAACAAATGGGCCAGCCCAAGCTGTCTATTTAGCCTTGAAACTTATAACCATGCAGTTATAAATTATGTAATCAAAGTAATTCTTCAATTGCTTTTCAGAGTCAATACACTGCATTGACATTAGCTGCCCGATATGGAAAAACAGATGTATGCCAGCTGTTATTTAGTAATGGAGCCAATGTGAACAATCAAACAACGGTGAATGATATAAATTCAATGCAATGTTCCAACTGTTTTGTTTGGAATTACTTTCTGCAGTATCATTTTTATCCTTTATTGTTAAGGGTAGAATCTTTTTGTTAATTATCTGTCATGAAGTTGTTCATTCTGTTTCTCCTGTGAGGGAACCTAAAAAAAATGCTTACCAATCTTAACTTGATTTTTGGTGTGTTACCTTGATGGTTATTGATATGACATTTTCTGGCAAGTGATAAAAGAAAAATGAATAGATAATTAATAGCTCAATTAATTGATCACTTTGTAAACCCTCTTCAGCCCCCTACACTCCCCTCCCCTCCCCCTACACTCCCCTCCCCTCCCCCTACGCAAGATCATAAGGGTAATTGAGATCAGTTGCAATTAATTACCATATTAAGTTAAAGGTAACTACAGAGAGCAATTTTCAATAATTTGAGTTTTGCAAACAATTTTGGGGTTGTTTTTGGTTTTTTTTCTCTGCTATGTGGTTGATTCAGAAAAAAATTACACTTTCATTTAAACCAATCAGGTCCAAAACTAAAAACAACAGCAACTTTGTCACTGACATTTTTATGCACTGTTACCAGTTTGCTTGGTTTTACTCTGGGTCCTCAAGCGACTTTTCTTTCCTCTGATTGGCTGTTTTCAATTGATTACTAATACAATCAATCAAAATAGGTTTTTATCAGTAAGTTAAAGATGAGGGCTTGGCAGAGATAATTTATGGCATAGGGTAAAATATGGTCCAGTAAAAAGTCCATCAATCAGTAGCATTTACTAATACAACCACCTCACACCCCTCCCTGCATACTAATAGCTCATCTTCCACCCCTCCCTAAGTAATAACAGTCTGCCTCCCACCCCTCCCAGAGTACTGTTAAACTGCATCCAACCCCTCCCTGACTTCTGATGGTCTTCCTCCCCCCCAATAAAATGATCCAAAAAGTGGACCAAAAAAAAAGGTTCAAAAAAGTGATCCAAAAAATAGTCCAAGTGTCCAATGTTCCATTCCATATTTCACCCTATGCCTTAATTTACAGTATCTATTGTCCAGTAGTTGCAGATCTTTATGATTGTTGATAATTGATCATATTCATCATTTTATAGTAAACACGGATAAACAAAATTGATAAGCATTGGTGTGTGTTTTAGGATGGTGAGACACCACTTATGTGGGCAGCTCATAATGGCCATTCAAAGACCTGTAAACATCTTTTGAAATGTGGAGCAAAGGTTGATCTTCAGGATAAGGTATGTGCAGCAATTTGCAGACTCAGCAGAGTTAAGGAGGCATGACATGAAAGGTTTGTTCCAAGATTTTATGTTGAAGTAAGAGTTCATGTCTCCATGTTGCAAGGATATTAAATGAACTTTTCAATCTCATTTTTAAAATGCTTTCTCCTCAGCAATAGGATGCTTAAACTTTTTACAAAGCAATCCTGCCACTTGAATCTGTTTCAGTATTTTCAGTGTATGTTGATTTTTATACTAAACTATTTTTCACTGTTAAACCCTAGTACCGTTTCACAGCACTGATCCGTGCTGTCAAAGGTGGTCATGAAGATGCCTGCTCAGTTCTTTTGGAGGCTGGGGCAGATGTAAATGCTACTTCAAGACTTGGAGATAAGGTATTCATTTGTCAGTTTCTTTAAAGTCATTTTTTACACTCTCTCTTGTTTCTCTCGTGTTTTGGTTAAAATGACTTCCCTAGTAATCCATTTTTGCTGAGGTGAAAGAACACAAAGGCAGATTAAAACAATTAAACAAAAACCTGAAATGCAAAATCAAGAAAGTGCCATCTACCTAATTATGACTGTGTGACACAGAATGATATGATTTCAGTCTTTGATGAGGAACTTGAACTAAGTGCTTAATAGCTGTCATTTAAAGATGTTTTTGATTGACAGGTCTGGGATGCTGAGTACTGGGCCACAAGAAATAATCATTCTCGTATTGTGAAGCTGATAAAGGTATGTTTTGCGAATTCCGAAGCACATGTAAATCGAACTCGAAAACCTGGTTTGGAAGTAAAGAGTTTTTTTTTCCTTTTATTTTTTTCAGAGTCATAAAGTGCGCTGTTCCCTTCTTAAAGATGGCTCTGATCTGCCCTCTTACGTTACCCTTAATGTATGCGGCGCCGTCAATGCAGGGAAAACAACTCTCATTGCAAAACTGCAAATGAATTTCGTGCAGCGACGACTGAACAGGCGAAATGAACCGGACACGAGCCAAGATATGTCTTCAAGAACTGCTGGGATTGGAGTGGGGATCATTAAAGTTCCTGGGGTCGGTGAGTTCCGTAAAATGGACATGGCGGGTCACACTTGGGCTTTCACAAGCAATGAGTACTTTATTGGCAAGAGGACATCCATATCTTTGGTCTTGTTTGACTTGAGTAAAGCGGACGAGGAAATCAAAAAGGATTTGTTCCATCACCTGGGTTCGTTGAAGGCCAGGGAGACAAAGGTTGGCGTACTTCGTTTTCGTCCAGAAGTCGTGTTGATTGCGACACACATTGACAAAGTAGAACTGGGTACTGAACCGCAACTTCGAGCAAATGCCTATTTCAGGAAGGCAAAGGAATGCTTTCAAGCTTACCTGAATTTCTATCGTAAAGTGATGGTCTTGGATTGCACTAATCCTAATGATCATGATTTCGAGTCGTTGCGCGATTGCCTTAAGGAGCTTCGTGACAAGATAATCAAGGTAAGTTCCTCTTTTTCTTAACTTTCTAGGAACATATGAATACTTTTTCCAGGGCTCTAGTATTTCCTGCAAGCTAACTGGGAAATGCTTGTCCCATGGCGATGTTAAAGTTACCTTAAAAGTGTCTTATTAGTTTTCTTGCTCTACCAACGAAACTTATCTCACACCATCAACGATGCCATACTGTAAAGGGTGTGGCAAATCGGGGGAAGGCCTTTGAGGAACACAGGAAACTTCTAGAAAATAGACAGAGAAAAGTCACTGGTATTCAATATCTTGACAACTACTGAACGATTCTTTGTGTCTCTGCTTTTTTCTGTGATTGGCTGTTTTGATCATCTCACCTCTCCGATGCTCTCTTAAAGAGATCAGCTCTTAAATGAGTTTACCAATAAACTAATACTCAAAAAGACGCAGATAATTAAGAGTTGTTGATGGGCAATGCGGAGGATTTTTAAAGAAATGTATTGCTACATTGTAGTTCTTACTTGGTACCTGCACATGTGGCTTTATTACCTTTCTTGTTGCGCTTCTAAACAAATAGCTTTTCTATTTTCCTATTTTCCGGTGTAAAGTACGTATCTCGAGGACTTCACTGTTCTGTTTGTATTTCGTACAGCATTTACTCTTGGAGCTTTGTAAGCAAATACACGGTCTCTTCTACCTATATGTCAATGTTCCTGTAACAATCATTTTAAGCGTAAGCCCCCGTTAAATTATGGAGACCCGTTTACATGTAAGTTTAGAAGTATACAGTCTCTCATAATACTTGATTTCCTTCGCAGAACTCCGATCGAGTGCCTCGCCTATGTGCACAGCTATTGCCTCACATTCGTGCGTGGGCAAAGGAGAGAAAATCGTTTCCTGTTATGTCCTGGCTGGATTTTGTTGCCAAAGTGCGAGAGATCAACAATACTGCTGACGAAGAAGGAGTCAGAAATATCGCTTTTTATCTGAATGAAAGTGTCGAGGTAACAGAATTTTTCGCAACCGCTACAATTTACAAAAACAAATGCATTAGAAATGTACATTTTGATGTGCACTTTTCGGAAATTTTGAATCGTAAGACAAAATTTGCCTTTGTTAAAGATCTAGGAAAGCTTAGTAAACTCTCTTTCATTTCCTGATCTACGTGCTTGCTCTCCAATTTTCAGATCGTGAGTGACACTTCCCCTGAGCTTCGTGACAAAGTCGTCCTTGACGTCAATTGGTTGACATCTCACATTTTTGGAATCGCCTTGGCTCCCGCCAACTTCCCGCGTTCTCTCCGATTCGACAGAGTCTGTGGAATGGTTGAAAAATCCGACCTGGAAGCCACCTTTCGTGAATGCCCTTTGAAACAGCTTATAGAGCTGTTGGTACGATTTGAAGTGTGTCTCCCATGGGATGAAGAAAATCTTGTTTGTGAAAACTACCTCTTCCCTAGTCACCTGGAAACGAATCGCAATCTGGACGATTTATGGCCAACGAAGTTCGGTAGAAGTGACAGCGATCGTTGTGTTGTTGGCCGTATTGTCGAGTGCAAGAACAAAACGGATGCTCTTCCTAACAGCTTCTTTCCAAAATTCCAGATCCGTTTGTTGAAACGCTTTGGACACAAAAGCCCAGTTTGGAATCGCGGCATCAAAATCGCAGATGACACGGTGGAGATCCTTGCCACACTTTCATCTAACCTAAAAGCGGTGAATGTCTGTGTGTGGGCGCCTAAAGGATGCGAGGAGCGTTGTTACTACTCCCTGACGTACATCGAGAGACTCAGGGATGATCTACTTGACGAGGTTGCCGGGGGGATCGAGTTTGTTGAGAAAGCCATGAGCATCGAGGTGCTGAAACGCAGAGAATTTGAGGGTTACCCTTTGAAAGAAGTGGACGAGGCGCTCAAGAAAGGTGGTCCAAATGCCAGACTCACGCTAGAAACATATGCAGTAAACGAAAGGGCGATTGATGTGCGATACTGCGGGATCAGACGGTACTCGCACCCGTGTGATCACATAAGTCACTTCCCGCTGAGGGAAAGAAAGGCATTATCCAAGATACTGGACTCCAGTATTGAATCTGATCACTTACAGCTGTTGTCAAACCAACTGAAAGTGCCAGTGGAACACGAGGATAGTGAATCTGGTAGTGTATCTCATAGAGAGTTGTTATTTAGCGCTCGAATAGAAGTGAGAGGGCTAACAATGTATATTTTAAATACATCAATCCATCTGGTGTTGAGTTAGAGTAGTGTAGATTATAACAATCAAAGAGAACGTACAACGAAACGAACAAAGAACGAAACATCCAAACAGAACATGTCATGCACCACGTTAGTGACACGTCCTGTTTGGATCGTTTGTTTTTTTGTTGTTGTTTGTTTTTTTGTTGTTGTGTATGTGTTGGTTTTCTGGATTGAGTTATCATGTTTATATTTTTCCACTTCACTGATAGAGTAGTTTTCACTTTAATTTAAACAATTTTCCTTAACTTTCATACTGTTTTAAAAACAGAATACGTGACTATTTGAGAATGACGTGTCACAGTAATACTACAACTATGCAACTCTGGTGCAGATTTTTTTGCTAATTAACGATGAAAACTAACGAGAAACTCGTTAGTTTTCGTGAGTAGACATTTTCAGCAGCAACCCATTCCCCTCTTCCATCACCCTTTCCCGAAGATAAAAAAAAATCTATACCTACTCGACATGTGAACTAATTCAGTAAATGGTTTGAACTATAGGGTAACAGTTAATAGTGTAGTTTTATCGTCCGGGCGAGAGTAGAACTGAGCAGGACTCTTGTCGGTAGCGGTGGCTGATGTTTCGACAAACTTAGCAGATGTAAACTTCCGAGTCGAACCGATTGCCAACTCAGCTTATATCTAATCGCATGTTAACTTGGCCCAAACAATAACAGGTGCTTTTATTACGACTGGCACTTCCAAACAGCAAGTCGTTCTTGGGACAGTAAGTTGATTCTTTGTCCTAATTTCTTTGTTTCAGGTTTCACTAGCGTTATTCCGGGAAGTAAAACAGATCGGTACCTCTCACGCTGTGCCTTTGAACGTGATCTGAGTACAGATGACTTGATTCAAGCTTTTGAGCGTGCCAACCAATTCCAAGCTGCTACAATTGTTAGTCAGTGGCTTGCCAACGTTCACAGCGCTCAAGACATTAATGCACTGGACAGAACTAGAGGTGAAAGCAGCGCTTCCGGGAGAAGCTATTCCATTGGTTCACGCAGTCGTTGGACAAGTGGAGCGTCCGAACATTCTGAAGTACGAACAAGGAGTACGGAAGGGAGCAGTGCCTCTGAGGGAAGTCCTTCCTTAGTAAACAAAACAAGTGTTAACGGGATAAGGAACCCGCTTCCACGGGCCAGTCCTCAACAAAGCTTTGACTCCCCCGACAGAAAAGAAAGCGGTGCATCGGAGAATAGTCTTCACTTTGATGTGGAAAAAGTGAGGTCTAGTAGTGGATTTTCTTCCTCAGGAGGCAGTTTCACTGGAGGAAACTTACGACCTCGTTTTGAGAGCGCAAGTTCAGCTTCTGGGCTCAGCTACCCAACTGAAGAGTCCTTCTGGGTATCTCACGAAAGGCTTTCTCGTGAAGTATCTCAAACTGGTTCAACAGAGCAAGTTGTACCTGAGCCTCGTCTTGTTGCCCATCCTTGCTCGAATTGTAAATACTGTGAAACAAAACTACCTGCACAAGACAACGAAGGTACCGAGCCACCCCTCAGCATAGAAGAAACATCGCAAGATACAGGTGCTAATGCACAGCGGAAAGATTCTGATCGTGACGCATTACCAAGTCCCATCCAGGTTTCTGATGGCGTGTCTGAGGAAGAAGCTACCGAAAAAGAATCAATTCCAACGTGTGAGACTGCAGGAGAACCGGAACTTGGCGAATCGTTTCCGTCGATAAGGCAACTTATTCCCGAGCTCTCCACGAGGTTGAGTGTAAATTGGAGGCCCGTTGCTGTTGATCTTGGTGTCAGAGGTTGTGACCTTCGACGTCTCGAAGACTCCAGCTTGCTTCGTGTCCAGGCGAGTGGAATGTTGAAACTCTGGTTGGATAACAACATGTGCTCCTTTAAATGCGCAGATTGTCAAAACATGATCTCAAAAAGACTTGCAGAAGCATTTGAAAACGCACATCGAGCGGATCTCATGGATTTCTTGCAGCATTGAAGTAAACTCTTTTGAATTCGTTCTTTGGTGTTCTGTAAGAATGCCTTTTCGTTGACAAAAATATCGTCTACCGTAGGAATTTTATGCGAGATCTGAACAACTGCGCGCCTTCCACTCCCCAAGTCCTGTAAAAGTCAACTGATAACCTGTAACTAGGCACTGTATATATCGCTTTTAATTTTTCTCGTTGCAATTTAATTTATTGTTGGTAGGAAAGTTTGTCCGAACCGATAAATATTTAAATCGAAAACGGACGCTATTTTTTCCAAAAAAGTTGTGAAAAACGGGAAAAGGGGAATCATTTTTCATTTTGGTTTCCCCATAAGTTCACAAAATGAGCGTTGATTATGAGAGAGAGTAGGAAGAACAGAATAGCTGGGCCGGATGTTAAAATTCAAAGCAACATGTGCACAAAACAATCAAGAGTTCGATGCACAAATCTAGACAAGAAACAATTTTCCGACTTACTCTTAAGTTACTTGTATAATAAATGTACTAACCATAGGGAGGATAAGGAATGTTTTTAGCAGGGCAGTATTATTAATTTTCATCATTACATGATGTTGTTTTATTTCAGATCCGAGTAATAATTCCAGATTTGAACAGAATGTTGTACATTTTTTTTTTTTAATGACAAGGGCAGTGTGATGTCATAGTGACGGAATATGATGTCGTTACGGGCATTTTCGATATGAAATTTCTTGACTTACGTTGCCTCTCATTATTGGCTGAATAAATTAAACCGTCTGTAGTACCTAAAGAATTGTAAGGAAAAGGCATAGTCGTATATGAAACTGAGATTTCAAAATCATTGAAAAATCTTCTCTATAAATACTGAAATTGTTTTCTGTTCTTTGTCTGTAAACCAACAAGCAGAATCTACATCCTTGCCCACACATTTTCCCAGTACTTAGCTGTCGATAAAAAATCTCACATTTGTACTCCCCCAAACATTTCACCATATGATCTAGACTGGGCGGCAGCACGGTTGGTAACATTCTAACTGATTCCAACGACTGATTGCCTTTGGATGTTTTACATTTATTATCGAATTCTATCAACGATAAACCGCAGAATGCGTTCAGAGCATACCGACAAGGGCAATATGGTTTCCTCACTGGGGGAAGAGGAGGTTTCTGTCACCCGTCGTGGCTTTTGCGAAGTGAAAATGGGGATCAGTTATTTAGGAAGCCAAATTTTGATGACAGAGAGGATGATAAGAATGACAAAGTTAATTACTTTGTAATTTAGTATTATCAACTGAGTTTATAGCGTAAATTGGCCACCGTAAAGAGTTTAAAAGCCGACGTTTCGAGCGTTAGCCCTTCATCAATCGCTCTGACAAAGGGCTAACGCTCGAAACGTCAGCTTTTAAACTCTTTACGGTGGCCAATTTACGCTATAAACTCGGTTGATAATACTAAATTATCCTGCTATACTCTTCCACCGACTCGGCACCAAAGTTTCTTTAGAAACTTATCCCTTTTAAATAAATACTTAATTCATCGGGGACGAGGGGATCAGATTCACAGACGTACATCTCTCTAATGAATCTAAGTGCCCTTTAATTTTTTTAATTACACTACACAATTCGACTAGAGAGTGGCAATTCAGATACTCTTATCACGTCTTCTCCCAAACGTCTATCTCCCTTAAAAAGAGCCATTCATCTTGACTCTGTGTGACTACAATCCGTAAACACTTCATCTTTGGTGAATCTGTCAAAGTAAAGTTTGCTTTGCCTTCTACAAATGATCCAACTGTTACAAAGTCTCCACAGGATTCTGCATTAGTACCAGGCCATGACCAGGTACTTCTGGGTTTCTCAGATTCAAAATTTGCTTGAAGGACACCAAACTTTAACCAGTCATTCACAGCTAAATTAGAACCAGTGTCTACAAACACTTTCTCTACATTAACAGCTTGATCAAACTTCACAGTCACGTGGTCATTAGTATGAACAGTCTTTCCCCAAAAGTATCCAGAACCACCTCTGTAAGCATCTTGAGGGCTCCCCAGATTTGATGCTATCGACGAGGAAACTTCCGCTGCTGGGTTTAATCCGTTGTATTTATGATCATAAAGGTCAAAGTATCTATCATAAGAAGCATTTCTCATCCACTCCTTTTCTTTCAGAGAGGATCGAAGACCTTTGTGTTGAAAGAGAGAAGCTGCAGGAACTACCAAGTGTACATTACCAGTTCGTTTTATCATTCGCCAATACCATATTAACCAATCCACGGGCATTTCGTCATACATTAGATAAAAATACGATGCAACATTCTCGAGATCTTTGGCCTGATAAACTTTTGCGACATGACCCATAGCGGAGATGTCAAGCATTGGCCAGTATCCCTTTTGGGAAGAGATAAACTCGTCCATCTTTGGAATTAAACTTGGAGATGCATTAACATCATCCTCAATGTGGAGGTAATACGTAGAAAGATTTCTACTATAACACATCAGAAAGGCAAAGTCTAAATTCTGCTTCGAACGCCATCTCCTCCTATCCTGCGAGTCACCATATTTCAGCTTAAGATTAGACAAATCAGGATAAAATTGAGGTGATGTTTCAATTACATGTAGTAGATCTTCCTCAATTTCTTTCCAGAAGAACTTTAAAAGATCTAAAGCTGCATTCGCTTTTAAAACTTTGTCAAAGTCTGCGAGGAATACAACTATGAATGTTCTCTTTTTGTCAGCGTCATTCATTTTGTCCAATAAACTTTGGATCGTTTTTAAGAGATAGTTTGCCCCGTTGGGTCTGCTTATTGAAGTCATACCTATCGTCATGTGCCCTGAAAGTGAACAGAATGTAAACTTCAGATGATAGACCAAAATATCGCTGAGTGTTATTTTCAGTTCCTTGCACTATGACATAGCCTGCAGAACCGGCATGATTTTTAACGTCTTACAGGCGAACGGGCGTGATTCGTACTTCACGCTCGCCTCGCGCTTGCCATTTTTTGACTGAAAGACGCAAAAAATTACACTTGTCCTGCAGGCTACCTTTGAAACATCTGCGAGGAAGTCAACCCAGTGGATTGGGCGATGTAATAGTTGCGCGCCATTTTTAAACGCGAGAGCTGCACGTGATGGAGCCTGGGAGCAAATAACACCTTCATTGAACATTAAAAGACTGAAAAATAATCCAGATGAACTTCACATAATACTTACTCTGTTGGGATGGATATCGTCCAAGTTTATTCACCAGTGAGCTTCTTAGGACTTGACCACTGGGGCACAAATGATTTCTTATTTCTACAAACGAAAACCACACAAACACGATATCAAAAGCATACAAGGCAAACTACGTGCATGAGTTCAAAAGATGGAGTTCATTGGTGTAAAATATGAAGCATTTGAATTTAAAGTGATGTAACGAAAAAATTGGCTTAGATTATGATGAGCAACCTGCCTGTATATTCCATTTGCGATTTATCGTTGGTTGCCAAACTTTGAAAGTTTTAAAAGTGCTCTACACACCACTGATCTTGATTTCATAGTTAGAGTTTATTCTAGGGTGCGGCTTTGCGGGATTTGCGCAATTTGAAACAAAATGGCTCTCGTATCAATCAATGGGTCACTGATTGATACGAGAGCCTCACGCGCATTATAATGTTTAAGCCTCTTCATGTCACAATTGCCTTCCTATTAACTAAGCCCCCACGTTACGCTTCGCTGATTAGTGTGTTACGCCAAGCTGTCTAGCTTTGAACTTTTATCAATTATGTATCAACATTGTTCCTTTAGGGTTAGAACCTCCAGTGCTTTGTCGCTCACTCCCACAAACCTTGTGCAAATATTTGGGTTAGCAGTTTTATCGAGAGCTTTAATCCTCAGAGATCGACAAGACTAAAGCCCAAACATGTTCACTAATTAATAAATTAAGAAGTGTATTAAACTTGATCTAGTGAGTTGAACAGTTAGCTGAATAAAGAAGAGAAGCCAGAAAGATAAGTCGTAACACAACTTTTCGTTTTCTCACTGAGCGGAATATGCAAACACGTTCGAACACCTTTTTGGATATCCTCTTTCATGCCACTTTCTCAAAAGAGAACCCTCCCCAGTCCCCAGTTGTCGCCCCCACTGGCTTGTGGCTTTGTCGGTTGACTACGTGTCGCGGTCTTTTGTCTGCTGGTATCGTCATCTCTGCTGATATTCTTGGGCAATGAGGTCGACTGGTTTCACGTCACCTTATGATCGAAGCATTCTACACTAACGTTTTCTCTTTGTTGTTATTATTGTAGTTTCCTTTGTTATTGTTGGCCCCAAATTTTTTTGATTTTAGCACAGTGAATAACCACAACATTTTTGCGAATTATCACAGTTTACAAAAACAACATATAGACGTTGAAGTCCCATACGAAATACCCCTGAGACAGTTGAACTGTGGAAATGTCACAAAACTATGGTTGATGTTGACATTAATTTACGCGTCATTAAGTTTTTGTGAAAAGGACCTTCACAAACGAAATATTTTTGCATATGAATGATCTTGTTTAATGAAAATCAGAAGGAGAGTGATGCATTCATTTGAGACACGGAGAAAACTATGTCGAAGTAAATGGTGACGAATCTCGAGAATCTTTGAGACCAGTCTTAAATTGACAAGACACCCAACAAAAAAAATATTACATTTGCAACGTGCTTCTGTTGTTTTTCGTCGTGTTTGCGCGTTCAAGCGATAAAAAGCCTAATACATCAGACAACATTCATAAACATCCTATGGTTTAGGCAAGAAGCCACGCACCTTATTTTTTTTTCTCATTTTTTTCCAGGTACTTGCTGCTATGGCTTGATTTGCTTTTGACTCGTGAGTTTCTCTACATTCAAGTGTGGAAGAGATGTTCAAACTTAAAACGTATGATACTACTATAATAAACAGTATTAGAGAGGTGCAAGATTGCGGACTAGTCAGACAAATACAAAACAAATGTGACAAAATGGAAACCCGACAGCCGAGCTGGGCCTTGGTTGAATTCCCGCTAGTTAAAAAATGTTCACAGAATTTCCAATTATAGGTTCTATCACACTTCTTGATAGTAGGGTAAAATTCCCGCACAGCCCCATCCTACATTATGCATTCAGTTCTTGAACAGAGGAAACAATGACAAAAACAATACATTTCCGTTGGGAAAACAGATTTGTTTTACAATAGTATGGGGCTGTGCGGAAACTTTACCTTTCTAAGCAATCACTGATCTGAACTCTCTCGTTGGGTTTGCGTGAGGTTTTGTATAAGCATTTACAGAATATTTCTGACTGTTTTGTATTTTAAGCCTACTCGAGATCGTGCCCGATCATCTGATCTAAATACGCCGATAACCAAGCGATCTCTGAGTAAACACAAGCTTAGAAAATTCGTTCCAAAGTGGAATAATTCAATTGGTCTTAAGTTTCTTAGCATTTCGAGACAAGCACCAATCACTCGAATATTCTGCAGGAATATTCACTTAATTAATATATCTCGCCGGGCAGAAGCAAAAACATTGCGATTTTATGTTGCAATCAAGTTCGGATATTTCGTGAATCGCTTAACATTTCGAAAGGAACGATTGAGACTCCCAAGAGGTTTGAAAGAACCTTTTAGTAGAAAAATGCATGTAATCGGATTAGAGGAAGCCTAACTACCAAACATTTAGCCAAAGTTAATAATTGTCAAATGAATTACCCACAATCTTGATACACAACTTTTCGTTGCAATGTTTTGTCTGTTGCACGTTAGAATACTAGAGAGCTAATTATCAAAGGAAGGGAAAGCGTTGGCAGGAAACAAAAATTTAGTTTCGACTTACAGCTTACAGCTTCGTTAGCCAATGCATAGATGACTTCGATAAACGCGGCAAGAATTATACTGTAAAAGCGTGCGACTCGAATGAATAAAAGTACTGACAATCATTTAAGTCACGACAGGCTTGGTTTATCATGAACATTAGCCTGTCTTCGTTAAGTTTTAAGGTGATATATAGTTATGAAAACACCTTGGATAAAATTGTCGCACAGCCCCCTACAACATTATGCATTCAGTTCTTGACTAGAGAAAACAATGACAAAAACAACACATTTCCATCGGGAAAAAAAATTTTTTTTACAATAGTATAGGCTCTGCGGAAACTTTACCACACCTAGGAATAAGCGAAATTAGATTAATTGTTACGTTAGAAAGACCGAAAAAATCATTTGGTTGACAATATCGCTTACTAAAAATTAACGCAAGATCAGTATGTTATCTGACGGAATCATGGCGCGCAAAGGATGTTTTTAAGAGCCCGCTGCCATCGTGACACTGTAATTAAACACAGATTTTCCCATACGCAAAGCTCTCGGTTTCAAAGTTTTTGTACTCACCGATTCCAATAGGAAATTCGCCGACAATTTCATTTACTTCTGTTCGTCCCATTCGCCCATGAAGAAAAACACATATAGAAAAGGTACTTATCGTTAATATCACCAGCACTTTTATGAAACATTTCGAATAAAATAGTCGCTGGATTCCTCTCCTCGTGGACACCATCATTAATTTGCGAAAAGCGGCCGGATCGTCGCCTGCTTACTTGTTTGTTGTGTTCAAAATCCGCTGACCGAAAAAAATTATAAAAATATACAGCTGGACTAGACAGTGGATTATGGACTCTGGATTTTCGCTCTTGCAAGGCAGGTAAGAATAAATGTTTGGTTGGTCTTCGACGAGGAGTCGATACAATTCAATAGAGAACCGAGCCACTGAAGCGAATTTTAAAAAGCTGACCACTATAAGCGTAAGCCTCTCATCAGAGTAAATCGTTTCCTGTTTTTCCCACGACGCAGAAATTTTTGTTTCTTTAGACACTCTAAATTCATCTGTTAACGGATCGTTCCCACACCGGAAACTATTTGTTGCCTTGTTTTTTACTTCCCAGGAGCTTAAATATTTTTAAATGAAGCTAAAAAGCGAGATTGGGGAAGTTTTCAATGGTTCTTTCGAAGTTGCTCTACACATAAGAGTTCTAAGGAACACGAGCTGGTCAAGGATTGCGCTCATAACCGAGAATTTCGCGTTCTTCAAGGAACAGTGAATCATTAACAGTTAACAAAAACATGAACAATGTTTCATGAGCAGAATGAAAAAAAATATGTATTTGTGGGGTATGGTATGGAGACCATGATATTCCAAAGTGCAGTAACCTAATTAACATGCAGTTTTCGGTTACTCTGCGAAAGGAATGACTTGGGAGTTGCTAAGAAAAGAATCGAGTCCACAATTTAACTCTTCCACGAAAAAGGCGGTCACACAAGCTAATAGTTTAGAGTCCAGTCCAATATTTTTATTTTTGCAAAACATACGCAGGCACAGTTAGGTGTTTTTATCTGATATGATACAGGCCGTTTCTGTTTGTTTTTGGGCTGTGAACGTACCATAGCAATTGTCTTCAACAGCGTCCATTTGCTTAAAATCCTGTGAATTTACGTCGTCGTGTTCTTGATTGTTTCTAGATATTTTAATTTTAAGCTCTTGAAACCGACAAAATGATATGAACTGAGAATAATAGAAGACTAGAAGATTTTGGTTGTTACAAAAAAAAATTCAACTTGCCCCCCCGCTCCCCTCTGAAGCTCTGCAGCACTCTAATGATATAATTAAATAGACCCCTTTACACTCCGGTTGGCGACGACTGACCCACCCTCCGTTCCCCCCGGAAAACCAAATCCTTGAACCTCTGCCGCCCTCCCCACCTTCACATAAACACACACCCACACTGGATACAGATACGTTGCATCAAGGAGTTTGCAGCTTTAAAATTCAAAATTATTCAAATAATTTCGGTATGTTCATAATATTTATTTATTTTTAGTTTCTCACCTGTATATACAGTGGTCATAGTTTATCTTTTATTAATGACTTCACTTGGGAAACACCAAATGCAAAATAATAAATTTTGAAGGGATAATTATGATCGATACATCTATAAAAAAATTTTTTTTGCTTCAACTTTTTACTTTAAAACCTGTTATCACAAAAGTATCAATATATATAATTTTAAACAACATATTAGAATTTCTACCTCAGATTTTATGATTTCCGTAAAGCTAAAGTACAAATAAACAAATGATGCCTAATGATTATTCATATTGATCAAAGTATTAAAGCAGGTACTTCAGTCAAATTTATCCCATTGTTGCACGAAAACAGTTTTTTAGGGGAAGGCAAGGGTCCACTATGGATCCTGCATTATCTAAAGCAGAGTTGGGAGAGACAAAATATCCAAAGCGAGGCAAGTCATATGATCTTAACCACACTTCTGACGGTCAGACTGCTCAAGTCTCGAGTCAAAAAGCAGAGATAGAGAAAACATGGAATAAATTTGTCGAGTCGTCCACTCTTCATGGTTTGCTTCACGTCTTCTCCAGCTCAACCAGAACGCGTCGCTTTCTATGGGCTGTGCTTCTCTTGCTAGCAATGATGTGGTTTTCATTTCAGTCCTTCAAGTTGCTTGAGAAGTATTACAGCTACCAGGTCACGACAAAAGTCAGTTTGAAATACGACCCTATGCCGACTTTTCCAGCGGTGACTATCTGCAACTTCAACGTGTTCAAAAGGTCTGTGGTTAGAACGTCAGCGTATGAAGAAATTTTGCCCCTACTTCATGCATCCTTTGTTGAAAAAATGGGCTTGCCCGATTTCAATGATAGCATTGACTTAAACAAATATCATGACTTGAACCTCACACAGTTTTACATCGATGCGGGACACCAAAGCTATGATACTGTTGGATATTGCATTTGGAACGGAAAACCGACCTGCGATCACAGGAATTTCACGTCCGTGTTGACATCAATGGGACTTTGCCACACTTTCAACTCAGGTAAATTTTAAAAAAATATATTTTCTCCGTGTGTCAAAAGCGACAGGGCGTACATTTGGTCATAAGCAAGTGCAATTTACAAGGGTTAATGATAGCCGAGGATAGATAGCATAGAGGATATTACATGACCGCTTGGGGATACGAATTTTATCTTCGAGTTCTGAAAGTATCTCTTACGAGTGAGCGAAGCAGTGGAAAAGTACTTTCAAAGTACTTCAGCACTAGAAGATAAAATTCGTATCCCCAAGCGGCCATGTAATGTTCTGTTATTTTATTTATACTGATGAAATTTCAAATATCCTCACACGTGAAAGATAAAAATAGTATCTAGTATCTTCACTGCGCACGATGAAGATATGATTTTTTTTAGTAAAAGGAAAAATTCTGGTATTTCATCGGTATCTATATAATAATATTAAATCCTAATATAATCTCCGCCGAATGCTGTTAATTCGCAAAATCAGTTGAAGGGCGTTTCCTTTCTGAGTTGTCTGCTTTTATTTTACTTCCTATGGTGAGAAAACTCTTTAAGGTACGTTGACACAAATATTAGGCAGGTCATTTAAAAAATGTGTTATTCATGAAAATCGTGTCTAAACAATTGACACTAAAACAATTGTGTAGTTTTTTAATCATCTTTTTTTTCAAGCTTGCACACAAAAAAATTTTGAAATAACCACGTTTAACTGTCTTTTATAAATATTGCTGTCATGACGAGCTTTGCTCACCAAAAGAATTTATGCAAATGAGGCTGAGGCGG